TAAGGCCCCAATATGTTTCATCTGGCACATTCCAACTGGCATGCTCCTGAAACTAATTCCCTCTGCAGTTTAACTTCAAAGCTTCTCAGGGGAAACCAACTAATTTTTAATATTGGACTAAGCAAAACATAATTAGGAAGGCAAATTTCTAAGAGGGGGAAATCATGCAGAATATTCCCAAGCCAGTTTATATGATTTCGCAACGTTGTTCGTTGTTGGAGTTCTCCTCTCCACCCCTCCCCTTCACAGGTAATCATGGATCGCCTGTAATTAAAAACTCCCAGGTAACACAGCAGGAACATTCCTTGAGAATTGTTTCCTAGGTCTCCGTAATAAGCCTAGAATTTTATATTTGCCATGACTTTGACACTAGATATCCATTCTCCTCTTTGTCTGCTTCAAAGTTGAGTATTTTTAAGGACTCTCCCTTTGATCTGGAATGGAAGAGATGTTCTAGTTTATATCTACAGCCACATCTGTGTTCAAAGCTCACGGTTGCATCCTTGACCAGGTTGTCTTTATCCCTGAATGGGCTTAGAAACAAAAGAAGTCTGACTGCCGGTGATTCATAAGATATTAGAGCTCGGCAGGCCCTGAGAGCTGATCTTGTCCAAAGACATTTAATAAGACTGAAAGTATTCCTTCATCTGCTTAGAGGAAACCCCTGATAGGTCCTCTAGATCTAAATGTTTATTTCTAAATTTGCTTTTTTCCAAATGCTTGTTGAAAGAGATTCAACAAGGCATTACACGAACAGCTACGTTGTTCAAAGAAATATGCTTCTACCTATAGATTCACAGCTGGGTTTTCATTAGGAAGAATGCTACTTAATGTTTCAAAAGATTTCCACCTATCTCAATAGGAAGAAAGACACATGAAAAGGGAAAATTATCTTACACTAAAATGCCAGGACATTTTAAACACCACTCTTAGAATATGAATTTTATGTTTGGATGAGATCGTATAATTTACCTCTCTATAAATCCACAGTTTCTATTTGGAATCATTGTCTGTGATCTGTTGGGTTTATCCATGATTTAAATTCAAAGATGCCAAATTGAACATGCCTCACGTTTGCCACACAGCATGGGGAAAAGAAATGACCACTAAGAGCCATGTGGTTCCACCCCGCTGTTTCCTTTTTTTTCTATCTTGCTGACCTCTGCTCCACACTCATAATTTCTTATCTAGGCCATGAGCAAACACCACATTCTTCAGGGATCGTAATAAATAAAATAAGGTAAGGTGATTTTTTTTTTCAAAAGAGGAGTACATATTACAGTTCCAGGAAAACTGGAAAGCAAAACTTAAATGAGAGCCCCTCATTATTTCTTTTTTAAGGATACTACTACACTTAAAATGTGGGTTTAAATGTAGGTTGCAGGATATACACCTTTCTGTGTATGCATATGGGGCCTGTGTGTGCAAGTGTGTGTCCGTGTGCTCTCTGTGCCCTTCTCCGGTAGGTCAAAGTGCTCTCGCACATGGATTTAAGATCACACAGGGTCTGTGCAGCAGGGACCAGGGTGGGAGGCAGGCTACAGAAGCGACTAAAAGCAGAATCGGAAAGAAAAGTAAATTCTGATCCAGTTCGGGTAGGTAATCTTGGGCAAAAATGTCTCTGGATCTGCTCCTCGGAGTGCAGTTGTCAACAGCAAAGGGCATGACAGAAGTAAAGAGCCTTGCTCTGTGGATAGCAGATAGTCAGTAAATGACAGGCAGTTTGTGACCACCACTGCATGGGCGCCCGGCCTGTGAGTGACCAGCTGACTTTGTGTCTTTCCATTCCATCTGCACCACATCTAATAAACGTGTGCAATGCGCAACAGGTGGCCCCCAGTGGGCTGCTTTATCTGCACCGTACTGTGCAACTCTTTGCAAAATTCTTGCCCTGAGCAGACTCTTTTCTGAGGCCTACTTTATCTCCTCAGCTCCCTGCCCTACGCCTACACACAAACACACACACACACACACACACACACACACTCACCATTTACCATTTAATTGCCTAGCTGTTTTAGCTTCCCCGACAGACAGCAACAGCGCTAAAAATAGCTGTGTCCTCCCTGACCAGCAACCCTCCAAAGGAGCTAAATGGCCTTGCTTTGAATTCCCCATCAAAACCTGATCTCAAGCTTTATAAAAGAGAAGCACCAAGGGCCCTTCTACGATAGTGTTCCGCAATTGGCATGCTGTCCGTTGCTTGAAAGGTTTTGTGCACTGGCACTTAATCCTTGTTTCAGTTACAAACCCTGTAGGGAAATTTGACTCCCGTACACGAGTTCTTCATTTATTCCTGAGCCAAGATAATTCTAGGATTACCACTTAGAAAATTGGGAGAACAGACCTGGGCACAGTTTCCACACAGAGAGTATTGAAAAGAGGGGCATGTAGACTACCTTTTCGGTGACAAGGTTAGGGATAGGTATCGTGGTTAAATCCCATTAGCAAGAACATTACACTCATTAAGTGAGCACTAGAGTGGGAACTGAGATGCCTTCTCCCCCCACCTCACCCCACCCCATGTCCTCTCCTCCTCCTGATGGCGTGTCCCTTCCGTGCAGGGGACTCCTTGCCCAGGGAATGCCTGTCCGCAGTAAATCACAGTGTACTCCCCTGCCAAGTGGCTCCAAAGCCAGAAACACACTGCAAAGGACACCTGCCCTTCTGCAAAACTGCACCAGCTCGCACCATTCCTAAATTGTCTCTCCCTTATTTCTGGGGTGACCTTCAGGTTTCAGAAAATATTCCTTTTTGTTAAAGCAAACACAAACTATTCTGTAAGCATCATTCAAGCATTTAAAGATTCTATTAATCTGATGTCTTAATTGTTATTGAGAAGAGGAAACAGGAGTGCCTTTGTTTCCCGAATGACCACATGCTTCTCAAAAGTGGCCCACAGCGTTGGAGTTTGCATCTCAAGTTGCAAGCATCTCTGAGAGCAGTGGAACTTCGGTGGAACTAATTCCCGCACAGAACAGGGGGCAGCAAAAGTGCACAAAGCTGAGCAAATTCAAAGTGCATCGCATGGATTCAAAATGAAGGAGTTTTTCTCCCATCCTGAACTGTAGTGTAAAATAAGGACTAAGAAATGTGTGTCTCCACACTGAAAGAGCTAAGCAAGCTGGTCACACAGGCACATGCACACAAGGAGGAAATCAACAGGGACTCGACAGAGAGAGAAAAATTCCTGCCACCCTGAGGAAGAAATAAACATGAATGCAATTTAGTAACAGCATTCTATGTGCCTACTGCATGTAAGACATTGAGGGTCCCAGCACAGAAAAGGAAGTTTTGCTCCCATCTCGCAACCAGGTACCTGCTGCTAGGAATCCCATCAATTCCTCAAGAGAGGGGAAAACATCCAGCTCAGCTAAGAAAGTCACGTGGAACCTAACTACAGTAACTAAATGGGCAGGGCAGCGTTTGAAATGTGCCTAAAAACCCCAGTAAAAATTCACCTTTAAAAGATGTGTGAAGCCAGGGTGGTAGGTAACACACCCTGGGAGGCTGAGGCAGGGCAGTCACAATCATGAGACCAACCTGAGCAACGCTGCAATTTAGTGACACCCTGACTCAAACAACAAGGAGAAGGTAAAAAGTGTTGGGTGTGTAGCTCAGTGCAAAGGCCCCAAATTGCCATCTCCAGGACTGCGAAATAAGTAAGAGAAAGGATTGTGGTTGAAGAAATGAAGATAAACTAAGCTATGAGGTAGAAACATAAATGAGAATGCAGGTGCTGCTGGATTTCAAGTGAGAGTAAAACCTAACATAAATAGAAAAAAATCAAAAATGGGTTTAATACCCCTCACCTACCAGACATCACAGCTTGACCTCACCTGCCTTAATCATGGATAGTTCAGCAGCAGCATCCAACTCAAAGCCCATTTTACAATAAAGCATTGACTATCTCATTTAACTTACTGAATAACAATATCCAAAGCACACTGCCCGCAAAGCAAAGCCTAGAGTTTCTGCTGTTTCTCCTGGTGAAATGATTCACTTCTGCTACCCAGCCTCACAAAAATCGTCACCACATATCACCAGCCCAGAAAAGACCAATTCAAAATTCGGAGTATGCTGCCTACCAAACTCTGTGGCTTTCTTACCATCACGAAGTTGGCTGGACCATCTTCATTTGGGAATTGTACATGCTTTGTGCTGAGCACAGAATATTTAGGAGTTTGTGAACGAGTACAGAGGGAAAAATAAGTTGGGGTACATTTAAAAAGTGTGGTTTAAGGGGCTGGGGGGTTAGCTCAGTGGCACTGTATCTACGTTGCAAGTGCAAGGTCCTGAGTTTGATCCCCAGTACCAAAAAAAAAGTAGTTTACACTGGATTTGGGAAAACCCAGATGTTGAACACTAAAATAAGATCATCCCATGCGAATGTCATGAAGGATAATGCTGGAGTGGGAGAAGATACATGCATGATTTTTTTTTGGAGCCAAACCTTTGATTAAGGTTAAGACCGTTTTTCAGTCAACAGACCCTGATTACTCACCCACCAGGTGCCAACTCCTGGGCCCTCTTTATCCAATTGGAAGGCACGGCGCACTCAGAACCTTTGAACTAGAAATAACAGAAGCAGAATCTGGAGGACTTGGACACTTACGGGGTGTGCAAGTGTGGAAAGTGATACCAAAAGGGGAACTTCAAGTTTGGGAGCCAAAAACAGTAGGACAAAGATCTGGGAGAGCTGGGCACTGCCAGAGCAATCAGGGAGGGAGAAGGGAGCAGGGTGCCACGGTCAAGTTCTCCCAGGGGACAGAGCTGGGTCAGTGCGTTGTCCACATACCACAGCACACACTCCCAGGTCACCTGTACAGGACACTGACAGAAGCCGGAAGAGGAGGAAAGAGGACCGGCCAAGTCAGAGCATGGAGACCAGTAAGGTCAAAAAAGAAGAGCTGCAGGGAGACAGAGAAGACCAGCTTGAAAGCAGAAACTAAAGTCTCTCAAATGTTCTAGAAGAAGCAAAGGCATGCTCAGCGCAGTTGTTTTTATTTTTATATATTCATTTTATTTTTGCTGGTATGCAGGATTGAGAGCAGGGCCTTCCCGATGAGCTACATCCGCAGCTCTTTTAGTCATCATTTTTTTTTTTATTGTGAAGACAGGCTGCTGCTACGTTGCACCAGATGGGCTCAAACTTGCCATCCTCCTGCCTCAGCTTCCCAGAGTGCAGGGATCGCACACATCGCCACCATCTCTGGCTGAGGAATTTTAATGTTTATGTTGAAAGTGGGACAGTCCGGAAAGTAATCGACCTAGACAAACCCATAAAGTTACATGTCTATCCGGAAGGTCCCACTGCAGTCAGCATACTAAGAATTGGCCAGAACTTCAAAAAGTCGTTTTCTCTCCCACTGACTCCCAGTAGGAGCTACCATTTATGGAGAAGGCCGTGTAAAGAGCTGTCAGAAGCTAACAACACATTTATCCCATGGTTCAATCACTTCCCTCCCCAGAAATTACAAGTATCCCTGAGGTGTGCACACGCATCTCCATGCTCACACACACAGAGACACACAGACACACAGACACACAGACACATACCTAGAATTAATTGCTAGGCTTCCTACCTTCCTGAAGCAAAACCTTCCCCACCAGAATCTACTATTTGACAGGGATACACCACCTTTGAATGTTCTCTTCCTGGAGGAAAAATGCCAAGTTCCGGGTAGAATTAACTTCGCTCAACTCTGAGGTTTGCAGAGGAAGTGGTCTGGAATTTACCAAAACAAGGCTGGGAGCTGAACAAATTATAATCTCCGTGCCTCGCCTCTTCCCTCCACCGGTTGATTCTCCCCCACGCACTGACTCCTAGAGCTTATTTACCGAGTCAATTAACAAAAGATAACCTCCCATTGTGCAGCCATCAATAAATCAATCCTGTTAATACTATCTTGGAATGTCCCCCACTATTGACTTTCATATTGTTTACATTAGACATTTGAGAAAGCCAGAGCCCTTGAGCCAGCTTGTTTCAGCCTTAATGGATTCTGGAGTAGCCATCACTGCACACAACTCTCTTTACAAAATATTTAGGTTTCCCTGAGGCTCACCTGCTTTCCGATCGCCAGCAGGGCATTCTCTGCCTGCCCCACAGGATCGGCAGCAGCGAGTTTGACAAATACTGAGGAAGGCAAACATTGCTTCTTCGCAGTAATGGAACAGTCACTTAGGGCACACCTACTTCTTTGTGATTTGAATAATCTATTTCCACCCACCCCAGCCCCCCACTGTCAACTACCCTCAACAATCTGGGGAATCAAATTAATCTTCAATTATGTGAAAGAATTTCAGGAACGAGCACAGCTCAAGTTACCAAGTAACTTGCTTGCCCGTTGTGAAAAGATTTGCACTGAAAGACCAAATGGGAGGCTTTTAATGAAGCCTCCTCCCTCCCCAACAAGGTGAGGGAAGCAAGTCTTGCCAACCCACCCTACTCCCTACAGAGGGAACCTCAAAAACTCTGGAGGGCAGCTTTCAAGTGAATGTGAAGTCTGTCTGAACATTCTGCAGGTACCTAAAAGTAACTGGATATCACAATCCCATTGGGTTTCCTGTTTATTTTTGTGTTCAGCACTTCCTTTTGAATGACATAAGAAATACTTGAGCAACAAATGTTGTTGTTGTTGTTGTTGTTGTTTTCCTTAGCAGTGAGTCTTCCCTGATTCCAGGCCAAGAGAGTCTGCTAAGCCTATAGATGCACAGGATTGCCAAGAAAGGCAGGGGCCGGAAAGCCCAAGTCCTGGAACTTTTGAAGGTTCAGATTTCTGGACTAGCTACAGACTGGGCAAAGTTCACTGCTCCCTCTTCAGACATGTTACATACTTTTCAAGTTCCCACTTGCTTCTTAGAGAGGGAAAAATGTGGCCTCAGAGTTCAGGTTGCTAAGGAGGAGTGGAGCCAATTTAACCATGCATTCCTTCCCTAAAAGATAGGCTGGGTTGTTGTTGTTTCGCTGTAAATACCAGAAAGTCTTGATCCTCTCCACTCTAAACAAATACTTTTGCGGAAACTTTGAAGCCCTCTTTCTTCCAAGGTGGGAAACCAGCTTGTTCACTCCATCAGCTGGCCGAGTCTTGACGATGGTATTATTCGACTTTGTGGCACATCTTCTTATCAGACATCGGCTCCATTTTTCTCTTGATAATGATGAGTATTTAAAACACACAAGGCTAATAAAAGAAAGCTCTCGTTCTTCTTGGTCTTTTTTTTTCAACTTCATACATATGTCTACTTAAGGGTGTTTTGAAGAAGGTGAAGAAAACAGACAGGGCTTTGAAAGGAAAACCAGAAGTCCGATTGGCTGTCTCTCACAGACCCTTCAGTGACCCTGCCCTGGTCACCTCTGATGAACGGGTGTGATCTTGCACTGTCTTGTGCAATAAATAAGTGTTACACTTTCAATTTGCTTTTGCTGCAAAAGTTCTTGTTTTCTTCCAAAAGGATTTTGATAAATGAATAAGGCCTCCGCATAGGCATCTGATACACAAAGGTGAAATCGTTTTCCAATTCCATCAATACAATATTGCTTACAAAAAGAACTGGGGACTATCATCAGTTCAGTTCATGCCAGTCTGTCACTGTGCATTATGCTCTCAAAAGCCTTTTTTACATGGAGAGTATGTATGTACATTCACACAATACTCCCAAGATCCAAAAAATTCAGAAAGTCTATTAGAAGGAAATCCTTTCTGTACCCAAAATGAGTAACTCTCATAATGTTGTTTATATGCAACTCGGCAACGCCCATCTTTGGGTCAAACTGGAAAATGCAGTCCATTCAAATTGTGCTTCAATATACACACAAGACATTTGAAAAGTCTTTATGAATGTAAGGATGCCTTTGTTTCTGTTTCTGTCAAAAGGCTAACATTCTCCCCCTCACCTGGAGCAGAGCATCTGCCTTCTACCTTAACTTCACGGGAACAGCTGACGTCCACCACTTCCCCTCAACCCTGCCCAAAAGAACTCTTCCCTTCGTTTATTCTTTCTTTACTTTCATGCTGACGTTTTTTTAAAAAAAAAAACTTCCCATTCAGTGTCAATCAAGGTCTACCTGGACTTTCTCTGCGCCCTTACAGCCCTCTTCTTGGGATCCTCTGTTCATAAGGATATCTAAGTGCTTAAATATTCTTTTAAATACTGTGGTTTCACTTTCTTATCAGAAGGGCTTCTGGAAATTATACAAAGGCTGAGACTTGTGTCCCATTTTGAGATTCTAATATAAAAACATAAAGACCTCCTGAAAGGGGCTTGAACAATAGACTCCGTTTCAATATCTGGTGTTCACTAGTGTTACCTGAGCATGTGCAGCACAATAAAGTGTGTTAGTCTGGTTATTGTATATTTCAGTTTGGGAATCATGCTACATGTCTACAGGTAAGGTACAAAGGTGAGGCCATGGCCCTCTGGCCCCCTACCCCTCCACAATTTCCTTACGTCAGATCTTGCTGATGGACAGGTACTAATGTGGGTAATGAAAGAACACTGGGCTAGAGGAAGCAGGGACTTCTGTCCTACCATCAGCACCTCGTCTTCTTCTTCTTCTGGAAAATGACGATGTTTCCCTAAATACTCCCGTGGGTATTTTCGAGTGCTATTTTTGTGACTTTATATTATTCAAGGCACCACAGCCATCATTCCATCCAGCTAACAGGAAAAAAAAAAAAGGAAAATGACATAATAAAAATACCAGTAAAGATAAACAGGCTCGGGTAAATAGATGTGGCAGAACTAGCAAACACTCACAACAATATAGCACTAGTGCTAGGGCTGTGGCGGGCATGCAGTGGTACAGATGGAGAGCTCCCGGGTCAGATCTACTGGAGCTCTCTTACCAGGGCATGCCGAGTGCCAGTCACACAATGACACATGACACCCAGACACAACTGAACAATACTCCCATAGTATCCAATTATTCAGCCTTGTGTAGCGGGTGCATGCAACTGACAGGAATAATCATGACCATATTTAATGCTTTTAATTGAACAGATTTCCTTTTTCTGAGCAAAGGTCCCTTCTCCTCTCACTTTCTCATATGAAGAAAAAAAAAATGAAAGTAACAGTACAATTAGGCAACTGCAACATAGTCCCGAGAACTCACTTACCTCTGAAAGGCAAGCTTTAGATCCAAGATCAGGAAGAGCAAGTAGAAGCAAAACACCTTACAGTGAAGGCTATGCTAATGTTAATGACAAGAAATATGCTATGCTTTCTAGATTTCAACAACTGTGAGTGTCAGGATTGAAACACTGGGAACTCGGGGGAGAGAATGCTGATTGTTCAAATAAGAAGTCTTACTTGTTAGGTTGGCCCAGGAAGAGCAGGAATTCCTTCAACAAATTCCCACACAGGCTGTTATAGTTTGGGAGCTGAAGTGTCCCTGGAGGCCCACGTGTGGAAGACTTGGTCACCAGACTGGGCTACTACTGGGGAATGGCGGAGCCTTTGGGACATGGAGCCTCGGTGGAAGAAGTTAGGCCATTGGGGGTGGGGCCTTGAAGGTGATGTTGGAACCTGACCCCTTCCTATTTCTCTTTTCCTCTTGGTGCCCCCGAGGCCATGCTCCACAGTGTACTCCCTGCCACTGCACTGTGCCTTATCACGGGTCCAAAGCAACTGGACCTATTGACCATGCACGGAAACTTCTGAAGCTATGAGAAATGCCCGAAATCTTTCCTCCTTACAAGTTGCTTTTTCTCGCCTATGTCGTCACGGTGATAGAAAGCTAACGCATAGGCTTACCTAGCTTCCAGATGATAACAATGGCAGTGATGATGGTGATAAGTACTTCTTTCTTGCCTACCATGTGCTAGACGCCGTATGAAGCGCAGTGGACACTGATGGTGAATCCACTCCGTTCTTGGGATTTTATATATACTACCTTGCTGAGTGCCCGGGGGAAACCAAAGAAGTACGTTCTATTAATTGACTCTTATTCTATGGATGAATCAGTGGAAACGGAAAGGAGTTTAATAATTTGCTCAAGGTCAAAGAGTGAGAAAAAGAGAACCTGAAAAAACTGAACTACATAGACCTGCCCCAGAACCTGCTCTGTAACCTTGTGCCACCACCAGAGGTAAGAGAAGCAGCAAGGTTGAGGAGCTAAAATCCACTTGAACACTACTTCAATTAATAGATAAACCTTCGGTTTTCTAAGCAAAAGCTGCCTGCCTGAGTCTTCATGTTGCCTTCAAGAGAATAATAATAATTTCTTCTTTAGTTCGATAGTCTTTATATCAGAAACTGGCCAACTATGGCTTTGGAGCCAGATCTGGCCCACCATCTGTTTCTGTATAGGCAGTGAGCTAAGAATGGATATCAAACTTTCAAATGGCTGCAAAAAAAAAAAAAAAATCCAAAAGCAGAGAATATTTTGTGATGCACAAAAAGCACATGAAATTCAAATCTCAGTGTCCATAAATGAAGTTTTATTGGAATACAGTGCTGCTTCCTTTGCATGTACCTCAAGGTCGGAATTGGGTAGTTGCAACAAAGACCATTTGGCCCAGAAAGGGCTAACATACCTCTTGCCCACTCCAGAAAGTATTTGCTGACCTCTGATTTAAATACCTGGGGTGGATTATCTTGTCCTTTCCTAAATTTGCTTTTTTATGGTAAAAATATCTCAAGCCCTGCCCTCTTCTTATCATCTCATCACATGCTCTAGCCTTCATAACAGTAGTGCTCAGTGATAAACTCATGCCGTGGAATATTGCTCAGCAACGAAAAGGAACACATTATGAGAGAGACATTAAAAAGCAGAATAAATCTTTAAACCATTATGCTGAGAGGAAAAAGTCTTACACAAATTGTTCTTACTGGGTGCTTATATAAATGTGAAGTTCTGAAACAGATGAGTCTCTGGTGAAAAGTATCAGAACTATGTTTTTCTCTGGGAAAATGAAACAGGAATTGGCTGGGATAGGCAACAAAAGAATCTATTTGATAATACAAACTTTCCAAATCTTAATGGCTATTTGAGTTATAGAGTTGTATATATTTGCCAAAATTCACACATATAGTTTTTATGTTGTACTATGTCCTCCTCAAAAGACTATAAATGCATACTGTACTCTAGTTAATGATCTGCAGGCTGAAATGTTTAGGGATATCAACACCTAAAATTTGCAGCAGAAAATCAAGATGCTTGGATGGTT